AAAAAAGTACATGACAGTTTAGAGAGAATTTGGCTAAATGTTACGTATTTTTAACATACCTGTGTAGAGTTTTGGGAATGAGCACCTGAGTCACTAAGAATCTGATTGGAGATGGGGGACATGCCTCAATCAAATGGTGTTTTTATTTCAGAAATGTTCCCTTCCCCATCCACAAAAGTATCCTTGTGATTTTTTTTTTTTCTCCCACCAAAATAAGGCGCAGGATTTGTCTCTGACGCTGTGTCTCCCTATTTGGACGGCAAGCTGTGTAACATATTTCTCCCCAGCGTGAAGCTTCTTGGCAGACTCTTGAGGCCACGTTTTGGTGGCTTCAGAGTTATCTTTGGATCTGTCAAAAGTGCTAATGGGCTTTCTGGCCTTCTTTAAGCTCCTCATTTCTATTTTCTTTTTACTTCCATCCTCTCCTAAAAGAAAAATTCATGTAATTCATCAGCAGTTAAGCTTTTTACTGAAATGCTCAGTGAAGGGCCTCGTATTTTTGTTTGTGAGGAGAGCTGTGCCATGTCACCGTCTTCAGAGCAAACCCCACCCTTACATCATTAGCTCTGCATTCCTCTGTCCAGTGGAGGAACCAAGATATGCTGGTCAGCCCCTTCCATCTGCCTTTTGTGTTTGCTGTTTTGTTTTTCCCTGAGTTTGTTAAGAGGCAAGTTGGTGTGGTAGTTAGGGTATGAGTTTCGGATTGAGGAGATCTGGTTTTGAAACATGGCTCTGCCCTTTCTAGCTTGGTGACCTTTAGAAGTCTACTGAGACTTCCCGAGCCTCAGTTTTGTTCTCATCCATAAAATGGAGATGATACTGCCTGTGTCAGGGTTGTTGGGAAAACTGGAATGAACACAGGAAAAGCACCTGTTGCCTGCCACATATGGATCACTCCGTGAATGGGGTAACAGTCATTTTTAACAGAAGCATTTCCCTTTCTTTAGGCGTACTTGATCTTGTTCTATTTCCTTTTCCAAATATGATTTTTACCTACAATTTTGTGTTGTATGAAAAGAGCATGGATATAGACCCTCTCAGGACTGAATCATGTCACATCCACTTACCATGTGACCTTCGCCAAACTATACAATTTCCACTGTGCCACTGTTTTCTCATCTTTATAGAGGGATAATAATATTTGTTTCAAGGAGTAGTTTGAAGATAAAGTGAAATGTTTAGTAATAAATGTAAACCTTGCACACAGATGTGTGTAAGAGGGACAGTGTGGTATAAGGGAAAGCTTATAGGCTGTGGAGTCAGCTCTGACTTCAACAGTTACTGACCTCTCCCAGACTTCTTTATAGTGGAAAGAATAATGCCTACTGGACTTTTGTGAAGACTGCACAATTACACATCCACAGTGTCTGGTACAGTGACTGGCACTTGATAGGTAGTTAGTATGTAGAGCTGTTAATTCACTTGCTCTGTATTTATAAAGGTTGACAGTTAACCTGGTACTTCAGTCAAACAATAATAAATTATAAGATAAGTACCCATTTTTACTCCCAGCCCATAATATTGTTGAAAAGCACTTTATGCTATTTTGCATGCAAAATCCACCTGGTTTATTTCAATTTATGGGTTACAGATCTTTAATCATTATAACTGCAATCCCTGGCAGTAGCGTTCCTTCCCTCCCCAACCCCTTTCATTTTCAGAGGATTATATTGTGTGGCATTGAAAACCTGTAACATTGAAGAAATTAGCATATTCATGTATATTATTAAGTCAGGTGGGTATAGAAAACGTTGTATAAATGAAACACACTCCACTTTTTTTCTGAAATCTGAAGAGTACCCAATCTATAGTATTAATTAAAAGAATGAAGCCCAGGCTACGGGGGGGGGCAGCCGGGGGGTGGGGGGTGGTGGGAAGGCTAGTTAAAACACTGCTTTGTCACAACTTGCTGCTGTTTGTCTTCTATTTTTTTCCCCCTTTTGAGTGAAATACCTGGAAATTGTAAATGTTCGAAATTGCCTTAATTCCAGCTGAGCCATTTTAGCGAATGTAAACTGTGAAGGAGGGGATACCAGCAGTGATGACAGGAGAGGCGCTCGCCTGGCCTTCGTGGGTGGCATCTCCTGCACAGAAATGGGCTCGGTGCCAGGAGCATTTTGGTCCCTGGGTACTTTCTTTTGCTTAGGCATATAGCACAGCACGTTGAGAAGGTTCTAAGGTCTGGGGCCCAAAGATTTGAGCAGCAGTCCTGTCTTCATTGCTTATTAGACTGTTCCATCTTAGAGAATCTCTCTGAGTCTTGGTTTCTTCGTTTGTAAGATAAGTAGAATTCCTGTTCTGTTCACCTTTCCGAACTGACCTAAGGCACAAATGCAGTGCTGGATGTGACCTCACAGTTGTAAACTGTAATCACCACACAAAGATGTAATTGCTCAGGCTCCTTCCTCTCTAAGGCTCTTCCAACTTGGTGGTTCATGATTTTATACAGGACGGGGATTTGGCTTCCCAGACAAAGAAAAGACCAGGGGGAGGAAGAGAATATACTTTCTGATTATTTTCTGTTTCTTATGCTCTTATTAGATACTGTTGTAATAAGAAAAAACAAAATAATCCACAACCCATGCCTTCTTCTTTCTCCTAGAGAAATCTGACAGAATATTTTGTGGCTGTGGATGTCAACAACATGTTGCATCTGTACGCCAGTATGCTCTACGAACGCCGGATACTCATCATTTGCAGCAAACTCAGCACTGTGAGTAGACAGTCTTCAGACTGGCTTTTTAATGATTTAATTTTAATTGAAAGATACATCAACAAGATGAAAGAAAATTTCAGAAAAAGGAGTCAGCTACAATCCCCTTATTTGGCAACATGTCATTTTCATTAATTGTTCATGTTTTTTACAGTGCCAGTACACATTTCATTTATTTCTGTAGTCTCACAGTCAATTATAAATAGCTTTCCATTCAATTATGTGTTATGAACATTTTGCAGTTTTCTACATGAGCTTCAAGTATTATCATATTTTTAATATCTACATCTTTTGTGATATGGATATGTCATTATTTACTCAATCTTCCTTCTCTTGATGGCGATTTAGGTTGTTCATTATTATTTAATCATTTTAGTAGATAATACTGCAATGAACATCTTTTGGCTTCTTTTGACTATTACAGTTACCTTCTAAGGAGTGGGATGCCAGGTCAAAGGACGTGATAAGCACTATGACTTAGGGACTGCCAAATTGCTTCCCAAACAGGCGGTACTTGTTTACAGTGAAGGCTGCCAGCTGTAGATGAGTATGCCATTTTCACTGCAGCTTTGCCAGGAAATAGAGTGTGTGTGTGTGTGTGCACTCAGATGTTTTAATTCAGCTAAGAAAGTAGACGCGCACTGGTATTTCAGGTTTGCTTTAATTTTAAAATTACCTCTTTGGTTAGAGGTAACTGAATATTTTCCATGGGTTTATTTTTTATTTGTGTTTTGTTAATATCCTTTTGCATTTATTTTATAGCTGTCTTGATGCTTTTCTTATAAATTATAGTGAACTTTCTATATAACTTTTGCTGTGTGTATAATTTAAATATTTTTATATTCCTTTTATTTCAGTTTTTCACTTGCTAAGTATAGGAATCTACATTTTTCCCAATTTTTTAATGAAAATTCTGAAGCCATTATAGAAAGTTGAAATAATTTTACAGTGAATGCTGATTTACTTTTTTTTAATTCTACTAGTGACATTGTATAGATCTTTGTCATGTATTTATTCAACTGTTCATCTTCCATACCATCCATTGATCCATTTTTTTTTTTTTTTTGAGACAGAGTCTTATTCTGTCACCCAGGCTGGGGTGCAGTGGCACTATCTCGGCTCACTGCAACGTCTGCCTCCCAGGTTCAAGTGATTCTTGTGCCTCAGTCATGCAAGTAGTTAAGATTACACACATGCACCACCACACCCAGCTACTTTGTGTATTTTTAGTAGAGAAGGGCTTTTGCCATGGTGGCCAGTCTGGTCTCAAATTACTGACATCAAGTAATCCACCCACCTCGGCTTCCCAACGTCCTGGGATTACAGGAGATCCATCTTATTTTTTATGCATTTCAAAGTAAATCACAGACATCACTTTACTTTCCCCTAAATAATTCAGTATCTGTTTGCTGGGTTTATTGATGTTTTTATTTTTGTTTGTAGACAAAACTTATATACAGAAATTGACTTGCATACAGAAATTGACTAGGAGTAGAATGCCTAATAGGTATCCCTCTGTTAGATAGGGTAGAAAAATCTTATAAGCAGAGAGTTCCCTAACGAAGGACCTATGGATAAAATCAGTTATGTGTTTACCTATGAATAAAAGCTGCCTAACAATGAAAGCTCTCTGAGACTACTAGAGTTTTCCTTATGGTTTTTATTATACCTTCATTATTTTATTTATTTTTCTTTGGTTATTGATTGCTCATCAAGAACTCAGTTTTTTTATTGCCCACTATGTGTTAAGAATAGCCTATACTAGACCTCTTGCTTTGTATTACATTTGATTTGACACCATATGTGCAGTTCATACTTCAGGGCACAGACACCCAAACTGAATTTCAGCATGAGTGTATTGTCAACCAGATCTATTATCACTTCTTTGAAAGAGTCTAATCCATAGCCAGTTACTATTGCTTTAGATTATTAAACTTCAGTCAACAAGAACAAGACATCATCTCAGTGGAACTGAATTCCCTATTGTTTAATCACGATATTTTTGATTCCTTACTATGTGTCAAGCATTGTCTTAAGCACTTTGCAGATATTAATTCATTTAATTATTTTTTTTTAGTTTAATGTATTTTAATAGCAAACTTACAGGAACAGCACAGAAGACAGACAACATTAAAAACATGTACTTGCATGTAGAACAACTCAGTTAGAAAAGTATAGTGAATGGATGGAATCTACTGTATGATAAAAATGCTACAAACACCATTTAGTTGCTGTCAATAAGAAATTTACTTGTTTTAAAAAAATCCAAATGCTGGCATTGTCCGGAAAAATTTAACAGGTTTATTTATAATTATTATAAAGTTGAACCACTGAAACTTGTTCACTGAAACATTTTAACTTGCATTAATGCTTTACGTCTCCGCATTTATATTAAAAATCCACACACAAATGAAAATGGAAAAACTGCCAATACCTGATTTCTGTCCCCTATTTTTCCACTCGCAATCATATACTTAGGTACCTTTTGACCCCATGGAAAAAAAATTATCTAACGTTCAGAACTACCAATAACAGGAAGAAGAGAATTTTTTTTTTTTTTAGAATGAAATGTTTCCCATCATAGTGGATTCTTAAGCACGCTCTCCACGTATGCGGCGTGCTAGCTGGATATCTTTTGGCATAATTGTTACACGTTTGGCATGGATAGCACAAAGGTTGGTGTCTTCAAAAAGGCCAACCAGATAGGCCTCACTTGCCTCCTGCAAAGCACCAATAGCTGCGCTGTGGAAGCGCAGATCTGTTTTAAAGTCCTGAGCAATTTCTCGCACCAGACGCTGGAAGGGAAGTTTGCGAATCAGAAGTTCAGTGGACTTCTGATAACGTCTAATTTCACGGAGTGCCACAGTACCAGGCCTGTAACGATGAGGTTTCTTCACCCCTCCAGTAGAGGGCGCACTCTTGCGAGCGGCTTTTGTAGCCAGTTGCTTCCTGGGTGCTTTACCACCGGTAGATTTGCGGGCAGTCTGCTTTGTACGAGCCATGGTATAGAGACCTCCTTACTTACCCCCCTTCTCCTTCGGTTGGAGCTCGGCGAGCTAGAGGCGGCGCTGGCGTTGGAGAGCGACGGCCCATTTAATTATTACTACAACAGTTTTAGTGGGTTCTGTAATTACCTCCATCTTATAGATAAGGAAGAATGAATCTTCTGTGTGATTTTGCTCTCATAAATGTAATGGATTTAACACACAAAGTTATTTCTGCTTCCTCCCAAAACTGAAATGAAATAAAGAAATAAATCTACAAATACAAAGAACAGATAGCAGAAATTTTTTAAATAGTAAGAAAATACGGTTAGCAACTTTATGCCAGTATTTCAAAACTAAGGCAAAATAGAAAAAAATAATTTAGCAAAGTTGACTCAAGAAGAAATAGAAAAATTGAATAGGTTATTTAACTTACAGAAATTGAATCAATATCTTTACATATTTTTCCAGATAAACACTCATCCCAGGTGGTTTTACAAGTGTGTTTTATCATACATCTCAAGGAAAAGATTATTTCAATCTTAGACAAACTCCTTAAGAGTCTAGAGCAAGAGGGAATGAAACCCAGCTTTTCCTGTGTCCTTGTGTCAAGGTTATACCTTGACATTCAACACAAAGACAGCACAAGAAAGAAAAATTAGCAGCTGATGTCACTCATTAACGTAGGGGTAAAAATCTTCAAATAGGAAACAAATGATTGATGATACTAGAAAATCTATTAATATAACTTAAATATTAACATATTAAACTGGAAAACTTTTATGGTCCTCAATAGAGGGGACAGAAAGCACTACCATGTTCATGAATAAGAAAATATCTTGAAGATGTTATTTCATTTCAAAATGATATATAAATTGTACACAATTCTATTCAAAACCCCAATAGGGTTTTACATAGTACCTGACAAGCTGATTCTAAAACTAATATGGAAAAGCCAGAGAAAGAGCCACAACATACTTGGCAAAAAAGAATGGGTTGTGAAAGCTTGCTTTACCAGCTGTCAAAACTTTCTATGAAGCTGTAGTAATTAAGATGCTAGTAGTGGAATGAGGTTACACATATAGGCTGTTGGAACAGAATAGAGAGCCCAAAAACAGATCACATGTATATGGGTTCTTTACATTATAAAAAGTAGCATTGTAGAATCTGTGGGGAATCAATGGACTTTTCAATAATTGGCTGTCCACATGGGAAAGAAAAGAAAGACAGTTTCTGTTGTACACACACAAAACTAAATTCCAAATGGATCAAGAACTTAAATGTGAAAGGAAAAATTTAAAAACACTTAGAAGAAAAAGTAGAATCATCCTCAATGATTTTTGGAGTAGAGAAGGGCTTATTTAAAGATGATCCATAATATACATTGTATAAAAGAAAATATTAAAATTGTGAACTTTCCTTCATTAAAAGATATTTTTCAGTGGCTGAAAAGTCACAAGCTGAGATTTGTGGTATAAAAAAACTGACTAAATTAATATCAGAAATAAGTACAGAACTACAACAATTAAAAAGAAGACAAGCCTGTCAAGGGAAAAATTGGCAAAAGGCATGAATGAACATTACACAGAAGAAATACAGATGGCCAAGAAGTATATGGAAAGATACTCAACCACATTAGTAATCATAGAAAAGCACATTAAAACTATAGTGATTATGGCTGGGCACAGTGGCTTATACCTGTAACCCCAACATTTTGGGAGGCCAAGGTGGGAGGACCGCTTAAGGCCAGGAGTTTAAGACCTGCCTGCACAATATACTGAGCCCCCTGTCTCTATAAAGAAAATTAAAAATTAGCATGGTAGCACATGCCTGTAGCCCTAGCTACTTGGGATGCTGAGGCAGGAAGATCACTTGAGCCCAGGATCATGGCTTTGCAGTAAATTATGATCAAACCACTTCACTCCAGCTTGAACAACAGAGTGAGACTTTGTCTCTAAAAACAAACAAAACTTAAAGTGATTGAAACACTAGGTTTGCAAAAAAATTGGTGGTTGACAAAGCCAGGTGTCATATTGAAAATGTATTAGAGAATGTTATTTAGTATTGTTTGAAGGGTATGTGCTATAAACTATTTACATATGCCCATTGCTCAGCAATTCTACTCCTAGGTGACATTTTGTATATATAGACATACCCCTTGGTCACATATGGTGGGGTACATGTACAAAAATGTTCACAGTGGCTTTTTGTTTGTTTTATGTAAATCCTGGAAGTAGTTCTCATGACTATCAACTGATAGACTGGTGTAGTCACACAATGGAATGTCGATCAGATCGATGAAAATGAACTGCACTATCAACATGATTATGCCTCTGATCTAGAAGCTGAGTGAGGAACTGGGTCACACAAGGACATACTGTACAGTATGATTTAATAATGCAGAGTTCAAGTCAGAAAAACTAAATGGTTTTTTGTTTAGGAATACATACAAACTACAAAGATAAAAAGAAATAACACAGAATTTAGGTAATGGTTTCCTCACAGGGAGAAAAGACTGGTTGGGAAAAGTCATATCAGGGACATCAAAAGTTTTGCTTTTTGGCTGGGCACAGTGGCTCAAGCCTGTAATCCCAGCACTTTGGGAAGCCGAGGCGGGTAGATCACAAGGTCAAGAGATTGAGACCATCCTGGTCAACATGGTGAAACCTCGTCTCTACTAAATATACAACAAATTAGCTGGGCATGATGGGGCGTGCCTGTAATCCCATCTACTCAGGAGGCTGAGGCGGGAGAATTGCCTGAACCCAGGAGGCGAAGGTTGCGGTGAGCCGAGATTGCGCCATTGCACTCCAGCCTAGGTAACAAGAGTAAAACTCTGTCTCAAAAAAAAAAGTTTTGCTTTTTATCTTAAGCCAGGGGAGGAACCAACATATTTTGCTATAGAAGGTCAAATAATAAATACGCCTTTGTGGGTCATATGGTCTTTGTGGCCACTGCTGGGCTCCAACCTTATAGTTGACCAGAGGTAAACTAATGGGTGTGGTTTGTGTGCCAACAAAGCTTTATTGCCAAAAACAGGCAGCAGGCCAGGCATGGCCTTTTCACTGTAGTTTGCTGACTCCTGAGCCAGGTGGCACGTTTGGGGTTCTTAACTTTTTTTTTTTTTAAGTTGTTTATATAACATACATACTTAATATATTTCAAAAAATTTTAGAGGTATATAAAGATGCAAAGCTCCTTTATCCTGAAATTTTAGAATATCAGAGATAGAGATAAAGTAGTTCTTGTACAAAGATTAAGAATCAACATTGCCTGAGATTTGGCAGTGGCAATTCTGGAAACCAGAAGGCAGTGAAGCAGTGTCTTGACCTTCTAAGGGAAAATGATTTCTTTTCTTTTTTTGAGACAGAGTTTCGCTCTTGTTACCCAGGCTGGAGTGCAATGGCACGATCTCAACTCACTGCAACTTCCGCCTCTTGGGTTCAGGAAATTCTCCTGCCTCAGCCTCTTGAGTAGCTGGGATTACAGCACGCGCCACCATGCCCAGCTAATTTGTTGTATTTTTAATAGAGATGGGGTTTCACCATGTTGACCAGGATGGTCTTGATCTCTTGACCTCGTGATCCACCCGCCTCGGCCTCCCAAAGTGCTGGGATTACAGGCTTGAGCCACCGCGCCCGGCTGGGAAAATGATTTCTAACCTAGAAATCTATACCCATCTGATGGAAGCCCTCAGGAGAGAGCGTCAGGAACCCACACCACATTGCTTAGCCTCCTGAGGCCTGTACTTCTGGATTCTGCCTTCCTTTTGCAGATGAACCATCTGTCCTCTCTGGGGCCAGTCATGCTGCTTGTCCAACTTACTTCATTCTGCAAATATTTATCGTGACATTGCCATAGACACGGGGATATAGCAGTGAACAAAACGGGCAACAATCCTGTCCTCATGAAGCTTGCATCCTAGTATTACGATACTAGTATTACGATACTAGGCTGTCAGTAAGCCAGAGGAGTTAAATATCTTGAACTGTAGGAAATGTTAAGTACTAAGGAGTAAAATAAAGCCAAAGAGACCAGATGGGGAGCGGTGAGTGGCAGGGCTTGCAGTTTTAGATAGATGGCCTCAGAATGCCAACAGGAAAGGTGACACTGTCTTTTCCATCAAGGAAATTGCTCCCACAGTAAACAAGCAGCTCTGCTCTTCTGCATCCATGATTATTTTCTTATGAGCACGCCAATGTGCTATAGGAGCTCCCAGACTTCAAAACAAAACTTTCTTGACCCATATCCCCTTTATTGCATTTCTAGTCTTCCTTTCAGAACAGAATTCCTCAAGAGAGTTACCTATTTACTAATTCTTCTCGCCTCATTCTTGCTTCAGTCTTCCATTAGGATTCAGTTCCCACCTGCTCACTAAAACAGGTGGACTTGTTTTTGTGTCTCTTTCCAGTCACCAGTTACCTCTTTTGAAGTAAAATTAAAATGAGTTAATACTTGCAGGCTGGTCCGAGTGCAGTGGTGTTTACAACTAATTGATCACAACCAGTTACAGATTTCTTTGTTCCTTCTCCACTCCCACTGTTTCACTTGACTAGCCTTTAAAAAAATAAAAATAAAAAATAAATAAAAAAAAAATACTTGCATAGCTCTCAGAACAGGCCTGGTATGTAGCCTGTGCAGACGTTTATAATAAATTAATAAATTCTATAATGGGAAACCAAATTTTAACGTCCAGTTTATTAAGGGCCTACCCTACTACAATGTAAACTTCATAAAGACAGAGATTGTTGCCCGTTTCATTCACTGCTGTGTCCCCAGGCAACACCACGATAAATATTTGTGGAATGAAGCCAACTGGATAAGCGAGGTGACTGGCCTCTGAGAGGATAACAGATCATTTGCAAAGAGAAGGCAGAATCCAAGTTTTAATGTTGACAATGTGAAACCAAGAATTCATGATTTGGAAATGAGATAAATCCTTTGTTGAGTGTGATGATGACTTGGAGTGAAGGGTGTAAGGAGAATGGTGGAGTGGACTGTTACTTTTCATGATAAGCCTTGACTACTTTTTGTTTTGTTTTGAAAGCTATGAACATGTATTACTTTTAAAAGGCTTTTCTTAACAAAGAGTTGATTCTTAACTGGGTTCAAAATTTGATGGAT